TTATTTGGAATACAGTGTCCAGTTCTGGGTACCAGAATGAGTGGAATCTATAGCAAAGTAAAATGGGGTTAGACATTTAAACAGTTTTTCTGATGGTAAGAACTGTCAGTGGAACAGTGGGCCTTGTAAAATGGTACCTTCCTTTTCACTAATAGTCCTCTTTCTGAAATGCTTTAGCAGATCCTGCACTATATAGAAGATTGACCTAGATGGCCTCTGTGATCCCTTCCAACTCTATGACTCTATGAAATTGGCTTGAAGTATTTACAGGAGTGTTCTTTTCAGATGGTGGACAGTGTAAGATCTTAATATTAATACAGCTTTTCATATGTATGTCTCAGAAGGTGGTAGCACCTGCTAATCTCATACAATTTAGAAGTTAAGAAAGTTGGACATGGATAATACTTGAATGGACAGTTCAGTAATGGAAAAGATATCATAGAAGAAAATAATGGCAAACCACTCCCAAACTGTTCAAGAATGCTTTTACACCATCACCAAGAGGGGAATTTAACTTCAAGGTATATTTACCCTTTTTTTTACATCTGTACACAGATAATATTATAGAGGTTTCCATTAGCCTGTGCTAACACATAATATCTTAATAATAAAGCTTTGTAGTTGTGAAATATAAAAAAATCCTAGAATTGTGAAAAGTTGGTAGCAATCTAGATTTGGTTATCAGTGATTCTTAATATTTTAAATGGTATTTTGAAGTAAGCTTTTTCTAAATGAATATATAACAAAAATTCACTAGGATTAAATATTTTTGGAAAGTACTTTGAAAGCCTCTAGGGCAGTGATGGCGAATCTTTTAGAGTCCGAGTGCCCAAACTGCAACCCAAAACCCACTTACGCATCATCGGGTGCCGGGTGGGTGTGGCCCATTGGCTGAGTGTGGCCAATTGGGTGGGTATGGCCCATTGAGTGGGCACAGCTGCGGTGGTAGCGGCAGACTGGGTGGGACTAAAAAGTTCAATCAATCAATTCCAACTTTGCAAGATCTTTTTTTTTTCCCATGAGAAGTTGAAATTGACTGATTGATTGAACCTTTTTTTTTTGCACATGGCGACGGAGGCCTAAAGTGAAAAGTTTTTATAAAACCCAGCTGAAGGCCTAGGACTGGGGTGACGGTGCACGTGCCCACAGAGGGGGCTCTGAGTGCCACCTTTGGCACCCATGCCATAGGTTCGCCATCACTACTCTAGGGAGAGCAAAAATAAGACAAGATAAGGACTTTTAGATTGTTGAAAAAAAATGAGAAAAACATGGCTTTTATTTTTGCAGTAAAGGAAGGCAATGGGTACAGTTGGCCAAGAATCCGTCCAAGTATTGTTCAAATATTTAAAATAGGCAGGTAAATTAAATGTTTCACAGTAATTTCAATATTTTAAATATCTCATACACTCACATTGGATGAATCATTGACTTCAGTGGATCAAATACTAGGCAGAAAAAAATACATTGACATAGGCTCTAGTAAGAAAAAGTTGGGGATGATGGGGTTAAAAAATCTTGTTCCCTAACCTTGCTAATTCTTGAAAGAATCCCTGTTCATACTCTCCAAATCAGCAAGTTCCAAAACCCTGGCATTATTGCATATCTGTTGCTAACAACTATAAAAAGTAAGGAAATCATTAGAGCCTTTAACTAACCCTTACAACCTACAGCTTGTGATTTCATCCTTCTAACATTATTCACCCACATTTACCACCTACTGCACACATGTCTTCTATCTTCATATGCCTTCTGTCTGAGTTCAGGAACTGGGATTCTTTCCCAGTTCCTTTGTTGTCCCCACCCACCTGTGCTACAGCATAGAAGTGTAGCAGTTCAGGATCTACTGTATGTGTGTGCGTGTATGCATTGTCTTGTGCATGCCCACCAGTGCCTTTGTTCACAACTCACTAGTTTTCTAAATCAGGGCTTTTCAACCTTTTCACCCATTGTACCACTTTTAGGATATGGCAATATCCGAGTACCACCAGTTGCCTAGAAAGGTGTCAAAAACTTGATGACCCCAAAAAAAAAAAAAGGAAAAAAGTGAGAAACTACAGGTAGTCCTCGACTTACAACAGTTCACTTAGAGACTGTTCGAAGTTACAATGGCACTGAAAAAAGTGCCCCCCAAGGCACAGCCGAGCAAGACACCTGCCTGCCCACCCGGCGGTGCTCTCATTCCCCTCCCCGCTACCACTTTTCTAGGATGGTTGCATACACCTGCCAGGTGCCAATGTACTACAGGTGATACCCGTACCACTGGTTGAAAAGCCCTGCTGTACACATCATTGTCTATTTAGAAAATTATGTTTTTTAGGAAATGATATTTTAGAAAATCTGATTTGATAATTTCTTAACACAAAGAGATATATTAATACAGCTTTTAGCATCTTCAGTTTTCTAATACCACAACCTCAGGATACGTAGTAAATAGAATACAGCATTCTGTCGTAAATTTCAACTTTTTGCTACTTTTATAGATAATGATGGAAATGAAAAATTCCAAATCTTTGGGCAATTTCACTCTGCAATCTAAGCTGCTTTTCTCCTGTTCTGCCCCAAGCTGTTCCTGAAGTTAGCTAATATTCCGGTCGAAATGACAGTGATTTGGCAACAGGGCCTGGTTGGTGCTCCATCTGGACCTGACTGATCATACCTGCAGGACCTGAGTGATCATTCCCCTGCTTTTTGCAAGGAAGGCAAGGATCACTGGTTGGCTTCTGTACACATGGGTTTATTGGTATCTGCCCCCATTCTTTTCCTTTGCCTTCCTACTTGTTTGTACATATAGAAATCTTCAGTCCTTTTCCCATGTTCTCTTATTTGACACTAATGCAGACCATCCCCCCCTTCTTATTATGCAGTAGTTGCTCTGATGCTTTCTGTTGGGGAAATGTTCGTACCTAACCAAATAAAACAGAACCTGAGAAAATCAGTTGGCAAATTGATCAAGCTGCAGATGAAACATCTTACAAAATAAATATTGAAACACAATAACATTTCACAAATGGTTTCCTTTTTATGAAACTTGATGTTCTGCTTCTTAGTGACATCATTATGTGTACAATTCAATCTCTACCTCATGAAACATGAAGAGAAATTTGATTCCATGTAGGCCAGCATGCCTGATGGTCCAATCATGTACACACAAATTCCAATCACTTTTGGCTAGGTCTCAGAGGTAAGTTGAAAAGTTTATACTGAGAAGTTGATTTGAGCTTGAGTTGTTCAATGAATAGAGCAAGGTTTGCTTTAGTTTTGTTCAAGGAAATGTTTTGTTTAAACGGGAAAGCTAAACTTACAAAAGCTCTGGTCACTCAATGGCTGGTCATAATCCAAGAACTACCTGTCTATGTATAAGTATAATGGCACTTCTTGGGATAGCATTTTGTTGGACTATTTTTTACATATGTATTTACATTTTCATATTCTATGCATCACACTTTCAGAAATGAATTCAAAAGTGCATTGATATTATGAACTATTAATTGCTGAATTGTACATGTTTACCTAGAAATAGTTCTATTGAATTAAGTTGAATTTATTTCTGAGTAAACACCTCTAAAATAATTTTAAATTATTAAAAATAATCAAGATTAGCAATTCAAGTGTTTTAATATTTATCTTCCCTTTCATTTTTATTTGTCAATAATGTTATTAAACATTGAATTATGCAATTTATTCTATTCTATTTGTTACCAATAGAAGAGAATGTATGTAAATCAGGGTTGAACTGTGGAGGCCTTGATTTCTTTGAGCTTGGTCATTTACTTGCAGATGTTTTATTATCTGATTCATAGTTGAGTAGAGAGTACCAAGTGGGGTAGAAAGCACCGAGGATTCTGTAACTTTATTTGCTATAATATGCTTATTTGTTATTTATTTAGTACGTTTTATGATGTGCTAGAAAATAAACTATTTATTTTATTTATTTGTTACATTTTTATCCCAATGTCAAACTATATTGTAATTGCTGTATCTGTTACAAGATAGAAGACATTACCCCTAGTATATGTAACTTTTGCATGCCTGCTGTAGTCTATTATATTAAATTTCTTATAGTGAAATAAGTATATTTTTATTTTAAAAATGATGGTAAAGAAAGATTGTCTATGAAAGATATTAGTTATTAATTAGTTGCCCAGAGCCACCTCAGACTGTGAGATGGTAGCATATAAATGAAATAGATAGATAGATAAATAGATAGATAGATAGATAGATAGATTTGCAGAATGAAATACTTCTTTATGTAATATAGTACTTTCTTAAGAATAGTTAGAATTCTGAGAATAAACAATTGAATTACAAATTAAAATAAATTTAATTTGCTGATAACCTGAAATAAATACATAAATATGAAAAACATTCCTATGCATTGCTAAAATCAACTTACATGGATGAATTTGGTTAAATGATGAGCACATTTAAGCTTGCTTAAGCACATTTATTCTTGATGATTCTGCACGTTATAGGATATAAGGGTGATATCTGTTACTCCATTCATTGCTAAGGGAGGTTCAGCTGATCTAGTTGGCTAGGCAGGTAGTCTTTTCCACCCTCAACACTCTACTTCCTTTTTGAAATTGCAACCTTGGTGGAAGAGAACAACCATCACTGACAGAAGGAGCATACCAATCTTTGGTCATACTCATTATAGTGAAAAGAATTAAATAACAAAGATGCATTTACATAAATATCATAGTTAATGGTATTTTAGGCAGGATCTTAGCATGAATTAGTGAGGAAAACATAATGTCAGCAGGGCCTTTTCATGACATAGGTAAGATCTAAATTCAAAAGAACTTTTGATTTTAAAAATATTCTTTGTATTCTCCCAATTTTTCCTTCCTTCTCTCCCTCACTTCAACTTTTAGTTGATTCCCTGAATTATTCAATGTTTTGTTTTAATTATCTAGCTTGTAACCAAGAGTCTTACTATTTCCCTTAGTGGGCACACTATTCATCTTAATATTCACTATATTTTCTTCTTTCTTTTTTAGATACCTGATTAATGTCACCTTTGAAGGAAGGAATTTATCGTTCAGTGAAGATGGCTATCAGATGCATCCTAAACTGGTTATCATACTTCTGACCAAGTCAAGAACATGGGATAGAGTAAGATATGTTTGTTACTTTTTGAACTGGAATTGGGGCAAAGATGTTCTCCCTTGGTCCTATTACCAGCATACTCACCATCTCAGAGATTCCTTTGGGACACTTGGTTACTGGTTCAGGTTGCAAATTTCTGATCACATTTTATTCATCGGTTTAGTTGTTTAAAAGCTTATACTTTTTAATTCACAGAGTAGTTTTCAACAGAACAATCAGTATAGGAAAATAGCACATTTTCTTGTATTACAAGATTTCTGACGGAAGAAAGTAAGTAAGTAAAATGACATGGCCAAGATGAATGGGTGGAATTTAGAAAAATAGACATTTTGTGATGGGGGAGGTTCTGTATTGCTAATCTAAAACCATCATAAAATTTTTGTATGTGAAGTCTTTTCCACAATGTTAGAAATTTAAAAGTTGTAGTTATAGGAAGAAAACCCATATAACAGCTGAAATGCAATTTTTCCTTCCTAGTCTGACAAAACTTCACTGAGTGTTGCCAGTCCAATGAATAAATAGTTTGTAAAGTTAACTACTAGTGAAATAAACACTGACAGGAAGAAGATGCTTGGGTGAGCAATGTGAAATTAGTTCTGTCTAAAGATTCATAAAGTTTATCCATTGCAAAGAAGCTGCAGTCCATGCATGCCCCAATGAGCCAAAATGAAGACAATCAGGCTAACAATCAGTAAATATGAGCAGAACTGAACTGCAAGCTCTAGTCAGATTTTGAACTGTATATAAGAGCAATATTTCATATGGATATATTGAACTTCCTAATGGGAAATTCATAAATCATTAGCAATGTCACAAGGTAATCCCAGTAATGGGACTGAAGCAATAAATATAAAGTTTCTTATTCTTGGGAAACTGGTATGCTAAATAAGATGCCAGAACTTGTTAGTTGCCCATATCATAAATATCTGTCCCTTCCACATCTAAAGACATCCCTTTATTTAAACCAAAATCAAGTCTTCCTGTAATGATTTAGCTGCATCTAAGAAAATCACATATTCACACACACACATGAAAACTATAATATGTAGTTCTTTTTCTCAATATTTTGCTACGTCTTTTAGAAACTGAAATTTTGGGAGGTGCAGAAACAAATAGCATTCAATTTTTTAAAGCAGAAATAATTTTTCTCAGCCTTTCTACACAATAAAAATGTACAGATTGAACAGTAATTATATTTGGAATTAAATGTATTATAAATTGTCATAAAGCTGATATTAGCAATATTAATATCAATAATACTTAGACTTATCTCTCTCTCCATAATGCTTTACAGCACACTCTGAGCAGTTTACAAAGTCAGAAATATTGTCCCAACAATCTGGGTATTTATTTTACCAATCTTGGGAGGATGAAAGGCTGAGTCAACCTCGAGCCCATCAGGATCAAACTTCAGACTGTGGGCAGTGTTAGCCTGCAATACTGCATTCTAATCACTGTGCCACCAGGGCTCCAATATTATATTATCTTCCTACCCCATCTTTGAAAGCCATTGCACATTAAAAGTCACTAGATGCTGCTAATACTACAACTTTATTTACATAAATAAGTATGGTGGATTTCAACTATGTGCTTGCCATGAAATCTGGTTCAGAAAACACAATATATCCTTCGAAATAATTTGCCTTGACTCAGGTCACATCAGAATTCTCCTTATTTAATTTTGCAACTGATTCAGGATGAGATGTGTGCTTGCCATGGACTATAGATAGTCCTTGTTTCACGACTTGCAGATCTGTAAAACAAAGGAAAGCTAAAGTAAGATCATAAGCACAATTGTGATTTCACTTAGTGGCCCTCACCAGCAGCCCCCCTGGAGGAGAGTCGCCCCCGAGCGTGGCCCACGCGGAGCAGTGCAGCCAAGGACATGGCAGCCAGGCAGCGTAGACAAGACTCTGCCCTCATGCCCCATCGCGCACAGTTGATGCTGTGGGGCACGGGCAGAGGGTGTGGCCGCCATGGCGCTGGGTGATCTGCAGCAGGTGCTGGAGGTGGTGAGTGGCCCTGCGGGCAGGTGGGGTGGGGGCGGAGCAGGGATGGGGCAGGAGGGTGGGGCAGGGGGTCGGGCAGGGGCAGGGCCCAGTTTTTGGGCACTTGGTCTCTAAAAGGTTCGCCATCACTGACCTAGTACCTGGGGAAAAAACCCCGAGGATACCTAAGTTTATATTAAGTCATCCCTGGAAACTCATTGAGTGACTAGTTGCATGGGTTTATTTAGGTCATGCAATGTAACCTTTCCTTTAGTGCAGAAATATAAATGAAAATAACTCTACCTAGCTTCTATTTGGATACCTCCAGCCTCTTCTGCTGTGGAATCCTACAGTTTTAAATTTGCTAAAGTTTGCTTTTTTAAAAATCCAAGATATGTGTTCAATTACTCTCAGGTTTATTTTTTCTTAAAATGAAGAATTCCAGTATTACAATATCACGTTCTTCTCAAATTTCTGCTACTTCCATTGCCTGATTGTTTGTTATTGGTTCCTATCAGCTCTAGAATAACTGATCTATTACTTATTTCACTTTGCCAGCTACAAAAATTAAAAATCATGAGAAGTCTAGAGAAATCATAATCCTGACAATTAAAATCTCCCATCAGTCCTACATCATAGGATGTGAGGAAAAAAGGTAGAAAAGCAAAGCTGGCATAGGCTAGCCTTGAAAATCAGGATATAAAATGAATGGTCAAAAAAATTGACTATTTTCCCCATAGTTTGTGTGATTGTATCCCAATGCAAGTTAATATCATCTGCATCTGTTTCTAACCATGATGACACTAGTATTAAGAAATGTGCATGTTTGGCCTTCTGAATTTATACCATGATGTGAGGATGCCATTTTTATTACAACATTATGACACTTGTTCCCCCTTTGCTCCTCCCCACAGCCAGTAGGCTTCATACATTGAATGAAGTGGGCTATAATTTATAAAAGCCTATGGTAATAAAAGTATTGGTTTGTAAAATACCATGAGTCCCTTTTTATATGTACAGTATTTGATGAACAACATAGTTACACCTTGGCAATTTATCAATCCTGTTAGATAAGAAGTCAAACAAAGACATGTAGAGCTGAATACCATAATGTAACATCAGCATAGTGATGACAGCATCAATCATTCCGCCTGGTAAATTCCCTCATTCTAGTAGCCTTGCATATATTTTTGAAAAAATGGATGACAAAAAGAATCATCCCCTCAAGAAATACTGTGCAGGTAAAGATTTAATGAATAGTCAATTATAATTAGTTGGCCTTATTAACTTGGAAAGATTAACTAGAAAAAGCAAAACAGATCAAATTCTGTTAGGTCTGAAATGTGGTTCAAGCCTTACCTACTGAAATACCTAGCCATATAGCAATTAATCATTGCTGTTTGTTGCTGATAGTTATCAAGTTCATTGCATCAGTTCTGAAGAATTATTTGAGGCCTCTAATATCTGCTGTGATATTGTAACTGTAGGCTTTTGGCAAACAATAGAGAAAATTGGAAGTAGAGCTTAACAATTTTTTTTTCTTAAATAAAGTTTTCCTGTGCATTTGTTCTAATTTTCCTTAAGTGGAACTAGACACATCAAGTGTTTTGCTAAGTCTTTATTACTGTAAAGATGAGAAGCTTGGTTTCACATAGTGTCAGTACCTTTTAAACAGCATAAATAATTACAAGTGTTTGAGTTTCAAGAACTCTTCATCAATGGAATTGGTAAAGGAGAAGGAAACAAAAAATGTAGCTTATTTTGAAATAATCTTTGTACTAAAATACATTATTGGGTGGAGTGAAGAGTGTTAAGTTGTGCTAAAGACTTTCCTAACCCTTGTTAAGCAAAGAAATATACATCCTCAGTGCTGAGAAATAAACAATCTAGCTGCTAAAATGAAATGCGACTCTGTCCTCTGAGCAAGAAATATATGTCTAAAAATTAATTATAATATCAAGAGATCTATTTTTTTAAAGTAGCCATTTCCATTTAGTCTCCTTTTCTAAAAATGTGATTTCTAATGTAAGTTTATAAAATGAATTAACTTTTGATCTAGTATTTATTATATTCTAATTATGTAGTACCACATAAGATGACCTTGTGGCAAATAATGAGGGCGCCACTGAGTTTGAGTAATCAGAACCCTTAAAACTACGGTACTAAATTTTCTATAAACATAAGTATTTATTTAAACATTTATATAGCCTTCCATCTTGTAGCTCACAACCAAAAAATAAAACGTCTACTATCTATATATAACCCCCCTTCTCACTCCTATGGGTGGTATGTATCTCCCTCAATTTCGGGTCCTGGGAGGCCTGGGAGCTTGATGATTTTGTGCAGATTATAGTTATTCCTAGCCCTGAACTCTTCTGGATGGAGAATTCAAATGTTCTTGAGATCTATTGGAGCTACTCTCTCAGCAGAGGAGTCACAGCCTTGAATGCTCCTACTACCACTGGGATTACTTTACTTTCCATATTCTCTCTAGTCCTCCCTTCAGGCCTTGGTACTTTCCCAGCTTCTCATATTCCTTCTATCACCATCACCATCACTATTACTAGCTTTTGTTCCTTATCTACTACTGCAATGTCTGATTGATACTGTTAATTGGCTAATACCTGTCTGTCTGGATCTGGAATTTCCATAGGATTTTAGCTTTCTTGTTTCCATTGTTTCCATTGTTTCTGGGTTATTCTCCTGACAGCGATAAAACAGACTAATTTGCTGAATGCTTTGTAAACCAACAAATTTTGGAAATGTATGTGTGTCGGTGGGGAAGAAGGGGTGCTAATTGGTTCATATTCTGTGGAACATGCTGGCGTAGACTCAGCTGAAGGTATTTTAGTAGCACCAGACTTGATAATGAATATTAAATGCACCTGGGACTGGTTTGCACATGAGACAGATGGTGGCATGGCAGGTTTCAGTATTGTTCCTTCCCATCATGATTCCTTATTCTATTTTACTAAAACAGTGAATTTTATTTGAACATTCATTGCCACACAAAAACAA